GCGCGGCCCTCGCCTCTCCCGCCCAGCTCACCTTCTCCGCGCAGGTCCGCTCGCCCCGCTTGCAGCTGTACCTCGGGAGCGGGGGCGGAAGCAAGATAACTTCGGGGCGCGCCTGCAGCCAAGCCTTGGCCTCCTCGTCCTCCCGGTCCTCCTCGTCCGAACTCTCCCGGGGTTGGACCTCGTAGTTAGAGTCTGAGTCCAATTCTCGCCCCGCCTCTTCCTCCTCCTCCGTCATGACCTCAACCGAGGTTGCAGGCTCCTCCGCCACCGCCACCGCCTCCACTGTCTTCTCCTCTACTTCTTTCTCCTCCTCCACATCCTCCTCCTCCTCCAGCTCGCCCGGCCAAGGAAGATCCTCAGGCTCCATGTTGGCGTCCGGCTCCAGGCGGCTGTGGAGGAGGCGGGGAGAGGAGGAGGCACGCAGGGGAGGGGAAGCGAAGTAACTGGCGGTTGCTGCCGGGCGCAGGCGCAGATGCCACCGCCGCTTCGCGCTGGGCGGGGCTGGGAGAGAGTGCGCGCGCGCGCCCGTTGCTAAGGACGCCCCGCGGGGCTAGCTGGAAGGCCCCAGATGGGAGGATCGCTAGAGGCGACACCACCACCTTGCTCGCCTCACTGGCTGGAACCTTGTTCATAGTTCTGTAAGCTCACAATAAACCCGGACTGTACTCCTCTTCGGGCACAGCGGGCTCCCGCACAGGGAAAATTTAATCCTTATTTTTTGTTCCTGTACCGAGTAGAGAGATCAAACCCTAGGATAAACCCATGATAACCACATTGGCAAATGATAGATTTTTAAAGGATTTTACAGTTTAGCGCCTATGCGACAGGCACTACAGTGTAGAGGGCTATGAAAACTTTATTGTGGAAAATTCAGTAAGTTGGGGAGAGGAAAAATGTTAAGAATTGGGCTGCGGCATCACAGATCGTTTGAACTTCGGTGTTACCACTTACATGTGACTTAGTGTCTATAAAATGAGGAAAATATATCTCAGGTTGAATGTGCTAATTAAAGAAACTAAAGGAATTAACCAATATGGATGTCTTAGTGGTAGATATTACTCATTGGTTATTGTACAATAACTCATTAAATGCTCACATTTCAGTAAAACAAGTATTAGTACCAGATCAGCATAAATAACAGCAATAGTGAAAAATCTGAAAATCATAGACTAATGTCTTATGGCTTGCCTTGCCCTGACTAAAAAGTGAAAAGGGAGAGTGAGAAAATAAACCTATGGCGTCTGAGGACTGCTCTGATACTAATAACTAAATCTCAAAGTTGTTAGGAGCTGGCCTGACATTCGCAGCTACACTACTGTACATCTCTTATTGAACATAAACAATCTCAGTATGCTCTCTTAGTCTGTTTTCTCATAACAATATCGCAAGGTGGGTATGTTAAAGAAAATAGGTTTATTTGGGCTTACATTTCTGGAGGTCTAAGGCCAAGGGACCACATATGATGGTGTTCCTGCTGGTAGAGTCCTGACACAGGTCAGGGTATCACATGGCTAGAAACATGTGCACACTTATGTGTCTTCCAGTTTCTCTCCCTCTTTTTATAAAGCCAAAGTGTTCAGTCATGAGGCTGATGACCTTATCTAATCCTAATCACCTCCCAAAGGCCTACCTCTAAACACCACAGTTAGATTAGGTTTCTACCCTCTTCATACCTCACAATGAAGATTAATCTCTGAGGGGACAAATCATATTCAAATCTTAGCAAACATTACCATCACACAGGATTATTCTGTGACTGTGATGAAGCAAAACCACTTCATAATCTTGCCTAAATACAGACAAAAGTAGTTGTTGTGTAAATCACAAATATATCAAATGTCCTTCTCTTACATGTTATTTGTGTGTCTGATGCCTCTTTTATCGATTATTGTCTAGCTTCGCTGTATTCTTGCCCACTAGATAAGATTCATTGAGGCTCAGTCATAGCATCCACTTCAGAGTAATGCTCTGCTTCTTTAAACATTCCCCCCAAAATCACCTCAAACAAGCCTAAATCCTATAACTCCTAATAGCATTCTCTTATGCAAATATTTCATACTACTCCATGATGTGTGTTTCCATTAGAATAAATAACGAGTCCAACTTCATGCTCCTGTTGATCTTTAGCTAGAGAGCTGTGACACATTAAAGAAGGCAGCCATATAAGCTCTGTGCCAGTTTTAAACTTACTGTGAGTGGTGTGCATTTCCAGTTACCAAAATTCTGATTTCTGCTCAGAAACATAATACCTCTGGATCAGAGATTTACTGAGTGCTTTCTAGGTTGCAGGCATTGTGCTAGGCTAGGGAGCAGTAATGCTTCCTCCTGGAAGCAATATCACTATGGCTAAGCACGTACCCCGTTAGTATTTCCTTCTGTCACAACAGCAGCAGATATTAGATGAAGCTGCCAAGGGAGACAGGACATGAGCTGATGGTTTGCATTCCCAGAAAGCACAGAGCACCTTGGCACCCATGCTTTGTCGTTCAGACACTTCCTATTGCCTGTGTTCTTTGTGCTTCCCTGTTCCTACCCGAGGGGACCTCAGCTTTTTATCTAAATTGAGATTCAGAAATTCTGTTTTTCTGGGTAAGAGGCCCTCAATTTAGGATCAGAGAGCTTCCATAACCTGAAGAGAATAGTGATTCTGAGTACTGCGTGTCCTCTTCTTCCAGGACTCCATTTTCTATCTCAGCCACCTTAGAGATCTTATAGGGAAAGATATTGTAGAGTTTTGGAGACATCAGCTACTGCTCTCCCAACATGTACACCTTTTCAATTAACTAATTTATTGGTACATTTTAGATAAACATAATGATCACATTCATCATAAGGAATTTGTACCTGTACATGATATATCTTGATTCTTCTTTTTTTTCCCCATTCCCCTCCCTTCAACTCCTTTTCCCCTCCTTATTTATAAAAGCTTTGTTTCCATTTTTTCCTTTTCTCTATTTTTTCTTTTCCATTCCTTCCTTTCCCCTCCCCCCTCTCTTGTTCCCCTCCCATTTGGACATTTTCTTCCTATTTCACAGTATCTATTATATATATATTTTGGTCCTTATTTACACTTACAGTTTCTCACACCAGAGAAGCAATGAAATATTTATACACGTGTGTCTGATTTATTTCATTTGAAAGTATACTTTTAAAGTACATCCATTTAGCTAGAAATGCCTCGAGTTTATCCTTCTTTATGGCTGGATAGTACTCCACTGTATAAAAAAAAAGCACATCTTTATCCATTGGTTGATGGGCATTTGAGCTGTTTCCAAGATTTAGCTAATACCAACTATGCTGCTGTATACTTGGGTGTGCATGTATAGCTGTGATAAGTCAAATGGAACCTCTAATTTTACTTTTTTGAGAAATCTCCAAACTGATTTCCACAGTGGTTGCACCAGTCTACTCTCCCACCAAGAGTGGAGAAGGGTTTCTTTTGCTGACAGGCCCTCCAGCATTTGTTATTGTTTTTAATTTCTTGATAATAATCATTATTTTCTGGAGTGAGATGGAATCTCAACATTGTTGTAATTGGCATATTTTGAATGACCAATGATGTTGAACACTTTTTCATATATTTATTTGCCATTTGTAATTCTTCATCTGAGAAATGTCTATTCATTTCAGATACCCATTTTTGGATTGGATCTTTAAATTTGAGAGATCTAATTTTTTGAGTTCTTTATATATTCTAGATATCAGTTCTTTGAGGAACAGCTGGCAAAAATTTTTGCTCACTTGGTGAGTTATCTCTTTACTCTGTTGGTGATTTCTTTTGCTGAGCAAAAGCTTTTAATAAGATGAGATCCCAGTTGTTGATTCTTTGTAATATTTCCCATGTGATTAATTTGTAATATTTCCCATGTTTATCACTCATAACACACTAATGATTCCAGCTGTGGCTCAAAAGTGCTCTTCAGATTAGATAGATTGAGTGAGTGAGTAAGTTTATTTTGTACACTGCCTAAGTTTATGGCAAAGGGTCCTGACTGAAAAATATGAAGCATAAATTAAGGATTGATGGAAAAACACCATTATCTGTGAGAGCTATCAGTCAATGCAGAGGCCCAGAGGATGAGTAGAGACCCACAAGGAAGATGGTATCTTCCTTTGAGTAGAGGGTCCTATATCTGAGACTCATGGTGTAAGTTCTTAGCTTTCACTCCTCATAGCAGGACTACACCCAAATGAGCACATGAAAACTTTGAGTCAGACAACCCAAAATAAAGCAGCTCCCTCTTGCCCCATGTCTAACTTGTCTACGAGTTCAAGACACTGCTCAGCCTGGACCTGCCCTACTCATGGTCTAGCCCTCTCTTTAACTTGTAGCCAAGTGATAAAGAAGAAAGGAACAAGGAATATTCATTGTTGTCACTACACCCTCTTCTTTCTCTTCTTCCTTCTCCTCTTCCACCTGTTACTTTTCTCTCTTTTTTTCTCTTTTGATAAACAGAGATGATGGGAGATAAAAAAATGTCTATTAGAAAGAAATCTTAATTGGGGCTTTGGAGTTCAACTAAAATGCAAAGGGCAACTTACAGGAAAAAAGTGAAAAAATTGGCCTCTTAAAAATATAAAACACTGGAGGACCAGGGATTTAGCTCAGTGGTATCATGCCTGCCTCGAAAGTGCAAGGTCCTGAGTTTGATCCTTGGTACCAAAACAAACAAACAAAAAAATATAAAACACTGGAATAACTACATACCACTAGAGTGTGTATGCATTTCCTTTTCCCCCTGCTAGACCCATTGCTTTTTTACTTGATCAAATGTCAGCGATCTTCTCTGATCACTCAGCCTAAAATATTAAATAGTATGCCTATCTCTATGTCCTCCTTCATTTTCAACCACTTATCAACTTTATTTTTATTTACATATCTTGTCATTAGCTAACATTATATATGTTGTCTAGTTTTATTCCACCCACTAGAATACCAACTTTATGAAAGCAGGCAGCCTGTCTTTTTCACAGCTTTAGCTTTAATATCAAAATTTGTCCAATCAATTAATAAATAAATGTTATTTTAAGATCTAAGGGAGAAGAATGTCTTCTCTCCCCCATTTTACCATAGATATCCAGAAAATCAAGGTACATTGAGGACTCCAGGACTTTGGCCATGATGCCCAGAGAAGCCCAAAGCAGCTTGGATATTCACAGAAGACCACTGTACCTATAAGACAAGGCCAAAGAAATTGTAGAGTCTAGTGAAAAAATTAGTGTTCCAGAGATGAAATAACCCAAGAGAAATAGCAGCCAGGCAAAACTCAGGCAAGTATGCCAGAGGCCATCCACTGCTGCAGTGTCAACAGCACCCAGCACATGGCAGCTGGCTGGTCTACTTGGAGACATTACATATGACAGTCTGTATAAGGACTGAATGTCTGCGTCCCCCAAAAAATCTGTATGTTGAAACATTAATAGCTCATATGATGATATTGGAGGTTAGGCCCTTGGGAGATAATTAGATTTAGATGATGTCATGAGGAT